ATAAGCTGCAGAAATTACAGATTAGAGCAGCCCGTGTTTTGACATTTTCCAGCTATGATGCCGATGTAACTAAGCTACTTGAATTTTTAAGTTGGAAAAATCTGACAAGCCAGCAGGAAATTCATAGAGTTACCATGGTTTTCAAATGTCTGCACGGGCTAGCTCCTGAATATCTTAATTCTAAGTTTAGATGGCGTAACTCTGCTTATGACCTCAGGGACTCTGAAAATAAACTCAATGTTCCTCTACCTCGCACTAACTATTATCGAAAAAGCTTTAGCTATAGTGGAGCCACATTATGGAATAGTCTTCCATGTGATATAAGGAACACAGAGTCTCTGAGGTTATTTAAACGCAAGATCAATGCCACTCTATAACGCACGGCATTCACGGAAAACAGCTTTTAGTTATTAGTTAGTGTTTTAATTTTTAAATAGTTTTAGTTAATGTAATTGCTGATGAATTGTTTCGTGCTTAAATAAAGATTATACTATACTATACTATATCTAGAATGGCTGTGAAGGAGAGTGGAGGTAACTTATCTTCTCGCTAGCTGTTGTGCCCTCTTGAAAATGATTAATTTCCAAGGAATTTCCGAGTTATGGCAGAGTTCTAGGTAACCCAGTCTCTTCCGTCCTGAGAAGGGCTGCAAAGGAGACTGCAGTCTCCTTTGTTACCTCCAGCTAGAGGTAACTTCTAGCTACAGTAGCTGTTGTGCTTCTTTGAAAGTTACTAATTGCAAAGGAATTTCATTGGGACTCACCACCCAAGTCTCAACACCCATTTTTCTATTTTTCAAACTCAAACCTCCTGTTATAACCAGAGCTCTGAAATCAACAAAACAACTTTTAACAGCGAAAAATCACTTTATTGACTTAAATCAACTATAGTTATTAACATGTTAAGATTATGAGTAAGTACTATTTGATCAACACTAAAACTGAGAGATCCTTTCTGTAACTCTCACAAAGCTTTTTTCCAAGGTTTTTGTGCATTTGGAAGCAAGAAAAATTTTCTAGATAATTAATTTCTAGTCGTTATCAGGCACAAACGTCCTTTCTTTATGCCAAGTATAGCATTCTCCCCCACTTTAGTAAAAGAGTACAAGAGCCGCCTGAAAAGTTATTCTAGACTTTGGCAGAAAAATGACTATCTAAAAAGTGAGTAAAGGTTAGCGTAATTTGAACGTGCCATCACATGAAGTATTTAAAAGCGCTAGTACCCTGATTAATGGCAAATGAATCAGATCCGAATTGATCTAGTCTGATAACTGAGACGGCTCCCACGCTCAAATAGGCGCCCTCCCCCAAATAAGCGCTTACTAGGCCTTTCTCGTTTGCACTCAGCAACATTTGAGCTACTTTTAGCGTCTGGAGCAATTTTTTGCTGTTCTAGCAAACTCGAGCAATTTTTGCCTTTCTGAGAATGTTTTTAACATAATCAAGGTTTAGAGCACATATCAAGCAGGAAAAAAACTTCACATAACCTATTACTTGAAATCGTTTCGCAGGCCTATTGCGATCCTTATCTGATATAATTAGAACGGATAATTGGCTGAAATGAAGCCCAAAAAAAAATCCATCTTCGTTTCTTTATTTTCCAGAGTATTCTTAAATTACACCCATATTTGTAAGTAACTTCCTTAAGCTAAGTTTCAAGCTTTATTTCTTTTCGGATGTTAGAAATTATTGTGTAGAACGAAAAATAAAGCTTTTTATTACTGTCTACAAACAAAATTTCAGGAAATTTAAGTAGCAACTTTATTAATATAAGCAATTTTTTAGCAACTTTTTGACATTTCAGAGAGCAACTTTTCAGCATTTTGCGAGCACAATTGGGACAGACCTGGCATCTGCTCCCTTGCCTATAAAATCAATTTGTATTGCCACTTTATATAGAACTTTTTAAGCTTCAGCTACAGTGGAATTAGTACAGGTTAATAGATTCCTTACGAGGGCCCCCCCTCGAATAAGCATCCCTCTTCCGATAAGCGCCCCTCCCTTTAGCCAAAATTATAAGTAAGCGCCTGGCAGATGCTTATTCGAGGAAATACAGTTATTGAAATGTATATGAATATGGAGAACCAACTTCACAAATCTTTTTTTTGTGCAAAATACGAACAAGTGCAAATTCTTTACCTGTTTATTTATTGGCCAATTGAAAACTGTATTTGCATTAAGGACACGTTTAAGCGAAAGTAGTTTACCACTAAACGTTAACAAAAGTGTTGTTATGTGCTCTTCATTGGAAAAATGTGATGTTTACCCAGCCATGACCAGCGCTATTATAGCAACATTCATTACACTGACTTGTTCCATTGTTAAAAGAACCTCCCCCTCCCCCACAGGAAATATGTTCATTAGCCCCACCACTTCCCCCAGAATAACCTCCACCTCCGCCCGGTCCCTTCCTTGGTGTACAAAAACCACCGCCACCTCCAAACCCACCCCAATGCCATCCACCCTCTCCCCCTTGATGATATCCGAAACCTCCTTTCCCCCCACTATAATGCGTTGGGCATTTTGAATCGTGTCCATTTGTGTGGAAGCCGCCGCCGCCGCCACCTATAATACAATCAAAAAGTGATCAGTGGTTCTCTTAAAAAAAGCACCTACAAATTTGAGTTATTGCGATCAAACAACGATTCCAGTGTTTCGCAACGAGGTTTATTTCTTGGTTTTTTGAGGCTTAATTATTGCATGGATATTGTTAATGAAAAGCTTGTGAGGACAAGTCAGCTTTAGGGTTCGCTTCGACTCTCTGTTTAGTGTTTCTATTAAATCCAGGGTCAATATTAGCGAATAAGAAGCCTCGTCATCTGTTTCGACGTCTTCTCCTGCCGTATATTCGTGGATCGCTATAGAGAATTGGACAAATGTGCAGGAAATTCAAAAAAGGAAAAAGCCAAATCTGACAGAATTTTAACTGCTTGTATGAGGCGTTTCCAAAGTATTATGAAAGGAAAACTTAAAAATAATTTCGATAACTATTGATTTAATAAATCATTCAAAATCTGATTATTAGCGACTGACTCTCTCATTTGGTTGAAGATCCTGAAGGATGGCAGTGGAATGCAACGAAAATCTTAGTATTTGTAAAAAGAAAATTCTCCACCTACCAGAAAACAAACCATTTGTAAGTCCTCCATGTCCGTTGCTTCCCCCCGAACCCAATGGCGAGTTGTCCCCTGCATTCCCTGTGGTGCTTGTGGACGCATCACATCTCAGATGTTGTTCTGACATATTTTTAATTCCCCCTCCACCTCCAGCTATAATCAAAGGCGTGTTGTCTTCTTTCACTACAAATGTACCTCCTCCGCCTCCAGCAGTTTGTTTGTCGATATTTCCTCTTTTCCCTTTTTGACCAACAAGGACATTTATGATCTCATATTTTGTCAATTTAAAGTGTCCAATCATCCGTGCCCCTCTTCCTCCGTTTTTGATGATACTGTCCTCATCGTACCCGCCGGAGGCTCCTATTGCTTCTATTCTGTATTCACCAGTATGTGGCACAGTCCACTGTTGAATACCGCTGGACACTGCAACTTGTCCGTCATGATCCTGACCTGTGTAGTAACTACCAATCGACTCTGAACCTTTCCTTCCACTCTTACCAAGATTTGTAAACACAGCTGTAAAGCCTGTGCAATAAACACAAAATAAAAGGGAGAGTTATGATACTAGTAAGAATTTGTCAAAAATGTAGTAGGAATTGTTTATAATGCCCACTACCACTTAGGAAAAAGATTCCTGTAAATTCGGCAGAAAAAGATACAGAAGAAAAATCTCCTGAGAATTCCTCTAACAAGTAAGAATACTTGGTTGATAAATCGCCTAAGATCCAGTGAAATATTAAATCAGTAGGAGTCAGAGGCGCTGAAAGAATAAATCAATCAATCAAAATGCACGTTTCCTGGCCCACGAGACGCTTTTTCCGAAAAGTAGAGAGGACGGGAAATGTCAGGAAAGCGCCCTGATGGCAAGGTTGACCTTGTGCAGCAGAAGGAAAAAATTCTCAGGAATAAAGTTTCGATGGCAGTAAGAAGTTTGCTTACCATTCGTGATAAAAAGATTCGTGAAATCTTAAGAGACAGAAATGAGATGAAGAATGCTCAGCAGATTGTGCAAAGTAGACAAGAATACCATTAAAAAATGCTTTAAAAAAGAGGAAGATGGAACGAATCTTGACGTCAATAGATGACACAAACCGTAAACTGTTATCTTTTACAGAATGGATGAATAAACATATCCCTGTGGTGTCTCCCTCAATGCAAAATAGTGGCCTGAATTAAAAAGAAGCTAAAGAGAAAAGCACTTCTTCCCCTCTGCCACGAGTTTCTTTCTTCTCTTTCCTGGTTTCAAACTTTGTCTTTAAACATACCTAGAACCTCGCAGCGTGCCTGGCCTACTCTTCTGCTTCTGCTCTCGATTCCGATACCGAAATTTCAGGTTGGTCACCACCGAGATGAAAAACCCTGTATCTTTTCATAATAAAAAGGTCTAAACTTTGGGGAGAGTTTTGAGGATAGGACTGTTTTGGAATTTCTGTAAATGCATTTTCCTTATCTATCTACTTAACTGTGCGTTACAAATTTGAAGAGAATCTACAAACTAATTAATCTTGGGAGTTCAGTTAAAGATGAAAAGACATTTTTTTCTTGACTATCTAGTTAAGAACGTTGTTAGAAATGTGAGTGAATTGGTTCCTCACGGCCCAAACCAAAACTTTTGATCTTAAAATGTAAAAACAAACAAAAAAAAAAGTCTGAAGATTACAAGGGTAGTAAGTACTTACTCTGGGTAGAGTCTATGCCATTTCCACGAAGTCCATCTTTACAAGTGCATTTGTAAGATCCAATGATGTTGTGGCAATCAGCATTCATATTACAATTGTGTGTTCTATCGTTACACTCATCTATATCTAGGACAGCAAAACGAGTGTAAATGATATGAGGGTCATTTGATATTGCTCTGTTGTTCTAATATTTTTGTTTTTTTAAAACGCACCACTTTGGCTGTTCAAAAATGTTGGGGACAGGTGGCCGCCAAAGGGAGATTCTTGTTCGTGTGCCAGAACTATAAAGATGAACGAATCCGAAGAAAGTGCCGCGGACAGCTTGGAAGAAGCCGATGCCACATATCAAACATAGGGTTAGATTCCGGTCAAACTATAGGGCTCAGAAACGCACCTTTTATGGTCATTTTCTTCATTTTAAGGGATAAGGCTTGAAGTGTCGACTCTAAGCCGAAAGACCTTTGCGCAAAATTCGAAATCATCGGAAATGGCTTAAATGACAAATATAATATGCTTTGGTGGAGGGGTAAGGAAGTCTTCGTTAACAACAATTCATTACTTACCAGGAGATGGAGGGAAAATTTGTGAAGGTACAGAGAAGGAGGGGTTAAACTACACGACATATTAGAGATTAAGAACTCAGGCACTTTCGTGCTATATTTGCTGAAGTAAAGCTGAAAAGCAAGAAAGAACAACTCACACTGCGACTTATTTAACATTCAAAATTTAAAAAAACCCTCGCGCTACAGTACTGTCATACGAGCATTAACATTCGGAACTCAGAAACTTTCGCACCACTGTCACTCGTGCTAAGAAGTTTGTTCGAACCACTTTGCGTCCCTTTGAAAAAAAAACGATCTCTCGTGCTGTTATGGCGCGAGCTAAGCAAGAAATTATCTTTGCACCTTCACCAACATTCACATTTATAAAAATTATTGTGCCATAATCGTCTCTGAGACCAACCATGACTCCCTCTGCGACTTCATCGAGCCTAAACATTTTCGCATCCATTACGTCTTTAAAAAACTCACGCTCTTTCGAGCTACTGTTGCCCAAGCCGCACAAGGAACTCCCTTTGCAACTTACTAAACATTCAAATCATAAATTTTCGCGCTCTTGTTGCACGAGCCATACAATTAACTCTTTCTACAACTTCCTAACCATTCAGCCCGTTTTGCGTATTTCTAAATATCACGCTCTTTCGTGCCATCATTGCACGAGACGAACAAAAAACTCTCTGCGACATCATCAACAGTGTGTATTCGAAAATATTTTAGCGCCATTGTCGATCGAGCCAAAAAATTACAATATTTTGGCTATTGTTTCTCTATGAAACTCCCTTTGCGATTTCACTGAGCCCAAAAGTTTTCCGTGTCGTTCAGAAAATCACCCACTTTTGCCTTATTATCGTTTAAGCTTATCTAAAAACCCTACTTTGTGAAGAAATCGTCATCCAAAATCACAAACCTTCGCTCTCTTGTCGATCGAAGCCCACTTTTTCTTGAACTATAAATCGAGTTTACTGTTTTGAAATTTGCGCTCTTTTTACGTCATTTTTCTCTCGTTCTACAGTGAAAGGTCTACATCGCAATAACAATGCTAAGGTAACTCACAGATTATAGAGACGCATGTCGCAAGAAAAAACAGTTGCTTTGGATTAGCGTCATCGATATCCACTGGTTATTCACCTGTTGAAGAATTTCACGAAAATGTTCTCGAAGTTTAAGCAAGAAAAACCCTCGCATGTCCCCGAGCCAGAAATGCGAACTGGCATAATTCCCTTCAGCTTATTAAGGCATGCGATTCAGAAAAAAGTCCACGAGAATGAGGAATAAGCCAGTTGAAGAAAGAAAAAGCGATGGCTTTGTTAGAAGAAGCATGCGAGGAGGCGAATGATACTCTCATAAGAAGGTTTGGAGGCAGTGGCCTCACTTACGTGTCTGTATAATTCTTGAACCAGCAACTAATCTCATAGTTGATCTTCTTATTGGTCAAGACCAGATGATCTTCATTTTGCAAAGGTTGACTTGAGAGAAAAACTGGAGGAGAAGCAATTGCTAGATTAAGGCCGTTGGGGTGGTCGAATATTGGCTGTCCAGAAGGAAAAGCATCGAGGAAGACGAAAAGAACTAATCTCGCTAGTACCTTTTTTAAGCAGATCAAAGGCATTTAAAGAACTGAACGATCCTATGAAGCGGTTCTAGGAAGTTGACACCTTAGGCGTCGACGAAAATTATGCAATACCGATAAAAAGAGAGGAGGAGATAGTCCTTGATAAGGTTCTAGTCTCATTCGTTCACGATGGAGAGCGTTACCAAGTTGCCACACCTTATAATCATGACCGTCCGTCGTTACCGGACAACTAGAGATGGACTTCAGCCGCCTTAGAAATACAGAGAAGCGTTTAAATCAACAATATTTACTAGGAGAAGACTATCACAACGTTATTGCATCTTACCCCGAAAAGGAGCCTCAATGTCAGTGGTACCTCCCTCACCTCTCTGTATGCCGTCCTGAGAGGTCCATTACAAAGACCAGAACCGTATTTGATACCAGTGCAAAGTTTCAAGATACATCTTTGAACGATAAAATTCCACCGGACCCCAAGCTTGAAGCAGATCTGTTCGAAGGCCTCCTACTCTTTCGCCGTTTTCAAGTAGCCATTGCATGTGAAGTCAGTGAAATGTACTTACAAATAAACATCTCGCCTCTAGACCGTTCGATGTTTGGATTTCTTCGGAAGAATTTGGAAGTTAATCGAAATCCCGATGGAAATGACTTCGTGTTTGGAGATGCATCCGCTTCGCTTTGTGCCCAGTTTGTGTCTCAGGAAACACCAAGAAATAACAGAGAGAATTTACCTCATGCCTCCGAAACTGTCCAGAAGTCAACATGCATATGCAGATACAATTCTTAGACAGTGCAATCCATTTGTTCAAAGAACTTCAAGATCTGCGGAATAAAGCAGGAGAAAAGGCTCGTATATAGTTAGTTTACTCTCCGGAGGTGCTACCAGTCAGTCCACAGAAACTCAGAGCACTCAAATTAACCTTAGCCACGACACTTTGCCAGTGATAAAAACCTTCGGAATTCTGTGGAATGCTCTGAATGATGTTTTCTCTCCTCGAATCACAACTCCAGTTGAAGGTCTATCGTGGGGATAATAACCGAAATACTTGATCCATTAGGTCTCGCCAATCCGTTCATAGTCCAAGCAAAGATCCTTACTCAAGATTTGTGGGAAATGGGGGATGGGATGATACTGTTACTCAAGAGATCGCTGTGCAAGCCGAACGATGGTTTCTAGAGCTGGAGATCTTGAAATAAATCACATTTCTTAGAAGTCTAAGGGAGTCAAAAGCGGAGAGATGGAGCCGCGCCCTCACTTTCATGGAAGCATAAAGAGTGTTCATGGGATATTAAGCTATATAAGATGTTCCTACGATAAAGAGTATTACAAGTCTTCATGATTGCATCCAAGACCAAGCTTGCTCCTTTCACGCTTATCACAACACTTCGATTGGAGTTACCAGCTTAAATATGTTCCCGTGGAATGGACGTTAAATACATCGTGACGATTCAACTTCGGTGGCAAGTTTCGCAATTTCTTTCTCAAGCAGAAAACAAGTGGCCACAAGTGAAGATCGAGGAGGGTCTAGAGGTCAAAACCGAGAAGTCTTTCATCCTTTCTGTTGGAGTCGTCGAAGATAACAGGTGGAAACTAAAACCTGAAAATCGGTCAAGTTGGTACAACTCATGCGAGTGACATTGTGTATGATAAGATTTGTCGTGAAGTGCCACACAAAAGAGAAAGGACGGTTAGACGGTCCTGTTTCTCCAAACGAAATCAAGCTGAGTTACAAATAATCAGAGAAACGCAGCGGGCTGATTTCACCGAGGAGTTCCTAGCTATTAAAATAAATGAGCCTTACAGAAGAGGAGTAAATTTCCCGAGCTGATGCCGAAAGTCGATCTTGATGGTCTACTTCGCTGCGATGGTCTACTGAGGTTAACTTAAAGTCTACCTTACGATATGCGATTTCCGATAATTTTTCTGAGATGAAACTGGGCGACGAAGCTTATCGTAAAGCACTATCGTGAGGATGAACACCACGTTACCGGAACGAACTATAGTCTTGTTTACCTCTCCGCCAAGCATTGGATAGTTGAAGTGAAAGACAAAATTCGGGAAACAGTTACCTGTGCAGTTCGTTCCATTTCCGTGAAATCCATCTTTACACGTGCAGCTGTGAGATCCCAAGGTATTGTTACAATTAGCATTCACATCACAGGTGCGTGTTTCGTCAGTGCATTCGTCCAAATCTAGAACATTATAGAAGAAATGTCATGGAAATGAAACCTTTTTTATGTTTCTGTCTTGTGTTTTGTTAATGTTTGTTATTCTTGATTTATTTTTATCTTAGAGTCACCTCAGAAAAGTAAGATGAGATAAGAAAGCATAATGTGTTACGAACAGTTACCTTTGCAGTTAGTTCCATTTCCATGAAATCCATCTTTACACGAACACTTGTAAGATCCCAAGGTATTGTTACAATCAGCATTTACATCACAGTTGTGTGTTCCGTCAGAGCATTCGTCCAAATCTAGAACATTAAAAAAGAAGTATCATTTAAATGAAACCTGTTTTTTTGTTTTTTCTTGTGTTTTGTTAATGTTTGTTTGTTTGTATTTCTTGATTTTTTTTTATTTTAAAGTCACCTCCGAAAAGCAAGGTGAGATAAGATAGCATGATCTGTTACAAACAGTTACCTGTGCAGTTAGTTCCATTTCCATGAAATCCATGTTTGCAAGTGCACTTGTAAGATCCCAAGTTATTGTTACACTCAGCATCCTTATCACAACTGTGTGTTCCGTCAGTACATTCGTTCAAGTCTAGAACATTAAGAAAGAAGCATTTAAATAAAACCTATTTTTTATGCTTTATCTTGTGTTTTGTTTTGTTATGGTTTGTATTCAATTCATAAAACTGGGAGGGTAAAAAATGGTAAAAAATGGTAAAAAATGGTAAAAGAAAAAACAAATTTATCATCTTACTGATTGGAAACAAATTGCAGAGGATTGCTTACCTTCACCACAATCATGGCCTTCAAATCCAGATCCAAGAACACATAAACACTGATAATCTCTGTCTGTAAACCCAGCTTGGCATGTTGCATTATTCTTGCAAGGATTTCTGGCACAAGCATTCTTACGAATAAAAAGAATAGGAGCACTTTAATTTTTGTGCTTACCTTCTGCGCATGCGTTCGTGTTTGCGAGTTCTGAATGTTATGCAGGTTTTCAAATCTATAGGTCCTCTGTAATGGTCCTCGTGTGTGCTCTCATTTATATGCCCATATGTTCCACGCAAGCTCGCTTATTTTGAACGCAAATGTCTGCGTTGAACATTGGTTTTCTTTATACGCGTGGCACTGTTCAGAACGAGGAAAAAATGTGTCTAAATCCTCAAAATGTATCACAACAACTCCGGAGGTGGTCATATTAAATTAATAAAAAATAATATGCTTCTCCCAATTCTCTATTTCAAAGTTTAAACGTGTAAGTATCATAACCTTTCTTTTGGTGGTTGGAAGGAGAATTAAGAGTAGGGAGATAGGCTAAGGAATCCTTGGTCTTGTTAAGAAGCTTCGACGAGACAAAGAATTTCATTCTCTTGGCTAATAAGCGTCATCCTCACCTCAGCACCGCGGTAAATATAACTTTCGTTTTTCACCAGATCTTTATCGTGTTCAATAGTTGCGTTATTCAGATCACACTTGTGTGTTCCAGACAGCTGTGTTATCCTATGGAAGTTATAACTGACGCAGTTAGGTTCCAGGTAGCATTGCGCCATGCAGAGATCCTCGTCGAATACTTCAATAGTTCGAACCGTGTGATTCTCCAACTTGTAGCCAGGTTTAGGAAAACTGGTAAACTTCAAATTACGGCAGTAACCTGGTGAAATATTACGTTAAGTTAGAAAGTGGCTATGTAGTATTGAGCACATCATTTGAAACTCGAAATCGAGAGCAGTGTTAGTGCTCAATTATTGCTTTGTTTTCCTTTTGTGTTTTTGCCACGAGAATAACACCAGTCGAGTGATTCTAATTTATATTCTGAGTAATCAGTTCTATTTTCATCTTCCTTTGGAAGCGTTCAGCTATCGTTATCGTTTTGTTGCCAAAATCAATAAACAACTTTTTTGATATCTTGAGTGATTCGTGTTTATCAAGTGTTATATTGGTCGTTTCATTGTTAAACATCGAGAGAGAGAAATTCAGTGGATAAAGTTCAGAAATTGCAGTGTTATAGGAGAAAGGTTAAGGAAGCTCTTCTCCAAGTTTTAGGTCTCTTTGTTTTCCCAAACTTAAGATGTTCGTCGAAATGTTTGGCGCAAAGTTACAGAGTCAAGTATGGAGCCGCCATGCTGGTGATTATCTTTGGTCCACCAACATGGCGGCCGGAAATAGTGGAGGACTTCGGGAACTTACTTTGGCTTTCTAGCCCACTGATTATCTAAACTAAACCAAAAAACATGTACGAAAACACTTTTCCTAACAATTAATATGAAAAAAGGTTGAAAATCACCAGATAGGTCTATAGACGCAATCGGAGCTTTATGTCACGCAACCACTATAACTCTGAACTTCAAACTGCTTTGGTTTCCAAACCAAGCACGCTTTTGTGTTAAAAATTTGAAAACAGATACAAATTTAGACCCCCATATGCCTGATGAGGATAAAAATTTTCGTTGCTCTGTATTTTTGGATTTTCGAATTTGATGATGTCACATGAAAATCAGCAATGAAGTTCGGAAATAACACGCGCTGTCATTGGTTGAAAGGGCGTGTTCTACCAGAGTATAGAGCACGGAGCTGAGCCAAAGCTGTCACGTCATCTGCTAATTTGTACTTTGTCTACCCTTTTTTCGTTTCTTGGAAGTGAAATTGCGGAATAAGCGAGCCGGCAAGTAGCAACAGAAGAAACAAATAAGGGTTTGTAAACATGCCAAGGTCTGTAATTTGCACTATTCTAACGTGTGAGGAGACTAAAATCCTAGCAAAGAAAACAAAATGGACAATCCGAGTTTTGAAAGTTTTCACGCTCATTTAGATTATAAACTTACGTAAGGCAATAAAAATCAAACACAGCTGACACTCGTATAGTATATGAAGTTTAAATTCATGCAGATCATGAGCATGTCAGAGCAACAGCGATCATGCTGAGGTCCATCGCGACTAGCTTATCATGGCGATCTCCGGTCATTACAGTTCAGCAAACCTCAGAAATAACATCGGTCGCCCTTCGAGTGAACTGAACTAAGAGCTTGCTCTGATATCCTTCCCGATGCGTTGAGTGGGCCACATCACTCACAGCAGCCGAGTTTTTCGGCGCTGTCATCCCGAGCAATCTTCTTTTTCCTGTGAATTCGGCTATCGTTCATTCATAAAACACACGCCTTGCGCCGTTTGTTTTCTACTTGTCACGAGAAAAAACTGTGTTTTTATGAGCCACAATTCGGCCGGATTTCGCTAAACTTTTCACGTTCAGATTCCGTATTAAGACTAAAACACTTAAGGCAAAAGTGTTATATTCGTCCCACCGAACTATTTCAGTTTGTGAACTATTGCAGATTGTAGGCGTTGATAGTTTGTGAACTTAGATGGTTTAACATTTTTGACAGCTTCAGACGTGCTTAACCAATTAGTTCATTTGAATCACTCTAATGAGTATTCTGATTGCTTTATTGTAGCCTGCTCTAGGAGAGTATAGAGCATGCTGACGACACTGTTGTTCGCTCAGGAAGTAAGGTTTGTTTTGAAAATTGAAATTACTGCGTAGGGAATATAACGGATTTTTTCCCTTAAAACAAATAAAGAAGCCTTGACTGTGCCCTGTTCTCTTATGAAGCACTCTGGAAGTGGCTTGAGCACTCAAGAATTGGAGGGAAACACTCGGCGAGCACGTCTCGTGTTTCACTACACTTCTTTCGTACTCTACCGCCTCCTGCGTGCTTTACAAGAGAACAGAGCACAATAAAGGCTTCTCTATTTGTTTAATAATGGTCGAAAGTTTAAAGAACGAACCATGCTGAGACGAAACGTCTGAGCATATTTAGTTTCTTTACAAAGTTTATTGTCGCGGAGATTTTTAACCTGGTCAATTCATGCAAAGCGCGTGTTGTTATGTCGTAAGTTCAGCCTTCGAGCATACTGCATACTGCGAAAATTATGAAAAACAAACCGAGAGAAAAACAAACTCGCTCACGTATAACTCTCGAGGTTTTAAATTTTATGAACTCCTCGGTATGAAAAGCGATTAGGGCTAACTCTTTCAGCAGTATTCAGGTGGCTTTTTAAATCTAAAAATGTAACAAAAGTAGCGCGCATTAACAGTCACTAGAAGGCGAAACGCTGAACTTTACCCTCCAGTATGTACATTTCAAGATTATAAATGAGTATAACAGGAACAATAAATCCTAAAACGTCAACTGTCGTCTTTTTTAAGAAAATCTTTTTGTCGAAATCACCTGCTTTTTATTTCCCACAAACTTAGTTAGAACTTTCTTTCTAAGGTGGATCAGCCAGGTTTTACCATAGATGACATGTTTAGGCCAAGTTTGATGCAATACTGTTTTCTTTTTTTTTTAATTTTTAAGTAGGTTTTGTGGAAGCAACATATTTCCACGAAACGTTATTTTTCCCGTTGTGACGAATTAGAAAGTTTCATTACAAGACTTGAAAAGTTTTACTGCTTTGTAAAGTTTTCATTCGAGCAAGCCAAGCCATCAGTTGAGTTCGACGGAGCTCCTCAACTTCAAATACGAATGAAGGTCTGCCATTTTTTAACTTATCCATTGCACCCGATAAAAAAGTCGAACACGTTCTTGGGCTTCATTGAAGATACAATAAATATTTTTTTAAAGTAAACTTTCACTTTTAGATACTTTAACACGAAAAATTATTTTTCCCGTTGTGACGAATTAGAAAGTTTCATTACAAGACTTGAAAAGTTTTACTGCTTTGTAAAGTTTTCATTCGAGCAAGCCAAGCCATTTCAGTTGAGTTCGACGGAGCTCCTCGACTTCAAATACGAATGAAGGTCTGCCATTTTTTAACTTATCCATTGCACCCGATAAAAAAGTCGAACACATTCTTGGGCTTCATTGAAGATACAATAAATATTTTTTTAAAGTAAACTTTCACTTTTAGATACTTTAACAGGCCATGTTCCCTAAAATTTTAATTCGTTCGTGATCCTGTTACTTCAAAAAACTGGGTTACAAAATGACTTAATAATACATACATAGGTACATAAAATACATAGGTTGTCTCATCAAATAATTTCTTATATTTAATACAAGAAGAGAAGCTTGTACGAATATTTCAAGGTTCAGTGGTTGTCAATAAAAATTATTAAAAATTAATGTGCTGGAAAAATTTGAAATTTTCTCAAACTATACCTTGTCCTTCTGGTATTAGGGAAGCCAAAACGACGAGAACGAAGCAGTAGAATACAAAGAGCATGTTCTCAGAAAACGCTCGTAAGTAATAATTCCAGAGAACGGCCACAGCGTGTTTTCAAACTTTAGGAAAACATCTTGCAAAATACGACAGCTGAAGAATCTGCGTTCAAATACTCCAATCCATGATTATTTATGAAGTTCTCAGTGGTTGTCATAACTGAATAAGATCTTCTGGGGTGTAGTTGGCTGGTGAAACTCAATAACATATGCCTTATTGACCAAGCGTGAGGCGTGAGGTCAAGATGGCTGGATATTGCGTTTTGCGTTTCTGTGGACCGAGGCAAAGTCGACGTCCATAAAAACGCAAGAAAAAAAAAAACAATAACAAAAAAACAACGGGGCTAATATCCAGTCATCTTAACCGAACAAGCTTTATTACATGGATTTACAACAAGGATTTCAGTGGTACATGGTAAAGAGATTTCGCTTAAATAAGAATCACGAATGACATATGATACTTCTGATGCATTGTGAATTTACAGGCTACTATGGATCGTTAACCTCGCTTACGAGGTGAATTGCAACATGAAACATACCCCTAACTGGCTATTATAAGAGATTACCATTAGGTGCAGTTTTGACAAATTGCATTGCTGATCATGGCAAAGATGGAAAAAATGTCAAAAGTGATTGTTTAAAGTAAGATTATGAGTAAGTACTATTTGATCAACACTAAAACTGAGAGATCCTTTCTGTAACTTTCACAAAGCTTTTTTCCAAGGTTTTTGTGCATTTGGAAGCAAGAAAAATTTTCCAGATAATTAATTTCTAGTCGTTATCAGGCACAAACGTCCTTTCTTTATGCCAAGTATAGCATTCTCCCCCACTTTAGTAAAAGAGTACAAGAGCCTCCTGAAAAGTTATTCTAGACTTTGGCAGAAAAATGACTATCTAAAAAGTGAATAAAGTTTAGCGTAATTTGAACGTGCCATCACATGAAGTATTTAAAAGCGCTAGTACCCTGATTAATGGCAAATGAATCAGATCCGAATTGATCTAGTCTGATAACTGAGACGGCTCCCACGCTCAAATAGGCGCCCTCCCCCAAATAAGCGCTTACTAGGCCTTTCTCGTTTGCACTCAGCAACATTTGAGCTACTTTTAGCGTCTGGAGCAATTTTTTGCTGTTCTAGCAAACTCGAGCAATATTTGCCTTTCTGAGAATGTTTTTAACATAATCAAGGTTTAGAGCACATATCAAGCACGAAAAAAACTTCACATAACCTATTACTTGACATCGTTTCGCAGGCCTATTGCGATCCTTATCTGATATAATTAGAACGGATAATTGGCTAAAATGAAGCCCAAAAAAATCCATCTTCGTTTCTTTATTTTCCAGAGTATTCTTAAATTACACCCATATTTGTAAGTAACTTCTTAAAGCTAAGTTTCAAGCTATATTTCTTTGCTGATATTAGAAATTATTGTGTAGAACGAAAAATAAAGCTTTTAATTACTGTCTACAAACAAAATTTCAAGAAATTTAAGTAGCAACTTTATTAATATAAGCAATTTTTAAGCAACTTTTTGACATTCCAGAGAGCAACTTTTCAACATTTTGCGAGCACATTTAGGACAGGCCTGGCATCTGCTCCCTTTCCTATAAAATCAATTTGTATTGCCACTTTACGAAAAACTTTTTAAGCTTCAGCTACAGTGGAATTAGTACAGGTTAACAGGTTCCTTACGAGCGCCCTCCCTTGATTAAGCGTCCTCAGTCTTCCGATAAGCGCCCCTCCTTTTATCCGAAATTTTAAGTAAGCGCCTGGTAGATGCTTATTCGAGGAAATACAGTTATTGAAATGTATATGAATATGGAGAACCAACTTAACAATTTTTTTTTTGTGCAAAATACGAACAAGTGCAAATTCTTTACCTGTTTATTTATTGGCAAATTGGAAACTGTATTTGCATTAAGGACACGTTTAAGCGAAAGTAGTTTACCACTAAACGTTAACAAAAGTGTTGTCATGTGCTCTTCATTGGAAAAATGTGATGTTTACCCAGCCATGACCAGCGCTATTATAGCAACATTCATTACACTGACTTGTTCCATTGTTAAAAGAACCTCCCCCTCCCCCACAGGAAATATGTTCATTAGCCCCACCACTTCCCCCAGAATAACCTCCACCTCCGCCCGGTCCCTTCCCTAGTGCACAAAAACCACCGCCACCTCCAAACCCACCCCAATGCTTTCCACCCTCTCCCCCTTGATGATATCCGAAACCTCCTTTCCCCCTCCCCCCTACACCAAAAATGGGTGGGCACCTTGAATCGTGTCCATTTGTGTGGAAGCCGCCGCCGCCGCCACCTATAATACAATCAAAAAGTGATCAGTGGTTCTCTTAAAAATAGCACCTATAAATTTGAGCTATTGCGATCAAACAACGATTGCAGTGTTTCGCAACGAGGTTTATTTCTTGGTTTTTTGAGGCTTAATTATTGCATGGATATTGTTAATGAAAGGCTTGTGAGGACAAGTCAGCTGTAGGGTTAGCTTCGACTCTCTGTTTAGTGTTTCTATTTAATCCAGGTTCAATATTAGCGAACAAGAAGCCTTGTCATCTGTTTCGACGTCTTCTCCTGCCGTATATTCGCGGATCGCTATAGAGAATTGGACAAATGTGCAGGAAATTCAAAAAAGGAAAAAGCCAAATCTGACAGAATTTTAACTGCTTGTATGAGGCGTTTCCAAAGTATTATGAAAGGAAAACTTAAAAATAATTTCGATAACTATTGATTTAATAAATCATTCAAAATCTGATTATTAGCGACTTACTCTCTCATTTGGTTGAAGATCCTGAAGGATGGCAGTGGAATGCAACGAAAATCTTAGTATTTGTAAAAAGAAAATTCTCCACCTACCAGAAAACCAACCATTTGTAGGTCCTCCATGTCCGTTGCTTCCCCCCGAACCCAATGGCGAGTTGTCCCCTGCATTCCCTGTGGTGCTTGTGGACGCATCACATCTCAGATGTTGTTCTGACATATTTTTAATTCCCCCTCCACCTCCAGCTATTATCAAAGGCGTGTTGTCTTCTTTCACTACAAATGTACCTCCTCCGCCTCCAGCAGTTTGTTTGTCGGTATTTCCTCTTTTCCCTTTTTGACCAACAAGGACATGTATGATCTCATCTTTTGTCAAATTAAAGTGTCCAATCATCCGTGCCCCTCTTCCTCCGTTCTTGATGATACTGTCCTCACCGTATCCCCCGGAAGCTCCTATTGCTTCTATTCTGTATTCACCAGTATGTGGCACAGTCCACTGTTGAATACCGCTGGACACTGCAACTTGTCCGTCATGATCCTGACCTGTGTAGTAACTACCAATCGACTCTGAACCTTTCCTTCCACTCTTACCAAGATTTGTAAACACAGCTGTAAACCCTGTGCAATAAACACAAAATAAAAGGGAGAATTTTGATACTAGTAAGAATTTGTCAAAAATGTAGTAGGAATTGTTTATAATGCCCACTACCACTTAGGAAAAAGATTCCTGTAAATTCGGCAGAAAAAGATAAAGAAGAAAAATCTCCTGAGAATTCCTCTACCATTCGTGATAAAAAGATTCGTGAAATCTTAAAAGACAGAAATGAGATGAAGAATGATCAACAGATTGTGCAAAGTAGACAAGAATACCATTAAAAAATGCTTTAAAAAAGAGGAAGGTGGAACGAATCTTGACGTCAATAGATGACACAAACCGTAAATCGTTATCTTTTACAGAATGGATGAAGAAACATATCCCTATGGTGTCTCCCTCAATGTAAAATAGTGGCCTGAATTAAAAAGAAGCTAAAGAAAAAAGCACTTCTTCGCCTGTGCCACGAGTTTCTTTCTTCTCTTTCTTGGTATCAAACTTTGTCTTTAGACATACCTAGAATCTCGCAGCGTGCCTGGCCTACTCTTCTGCTTCTGCTCTCGATTCCGATACCGAAATTTCAGGTTAGTCACCACCGAGATGAAAAACCCTGTATCTTTTCATAGTAAAGAGGCCTAAACTTTGAGCAGAGTTTTGAGGATAGGACTGTTTTGAAATTTCTGTAAATGCATTTTCCTTATCTTTCTACTTAACTCACACTGCAACTTATTTAACATTCAAAATTTAAAAAACCCTCGCGCTACAGTACTTTCATACGAACATTAACATTCAAAACTCAAAAACTTTCGCACCACTGTCACTCGTGCTAAGAAGTTCGTTCGAACTTCTTCGCGTCCCTTTGAAAGAAAAAAAATGATCTTTCGCGCTGTTATGGCGCGAGCTAAACAAGAAATTATCTTTGCGCCTTCACCAACATCCACATTTATAAAAATTGTTGTGCCATAATCGTCTCTGGGACCAACCATGACTCCCTCTGCGACTTCATCGAGCCTAAACATTTTCGCATCCATTACGTCTTTAAAAAACTCACGCTCTTTCGAGCTACTGTTGCCCAAGCCGCACAAGGAACTCCCTTTGCAACTTACTAAACATTCAAATCATAAATTTTCGCGCTCTTGTTGCACGAGCCATACAATTAACTCTTTCTACAACTTCCTAACCATTCAGCCCGTTTTGCGTATTTCTAAAAATCACGCTCATTCGTGCTATCATTGCACGAGACGAACAAAAAACTATCTGCGACATCATCAACAGTGTGTATTCGAAAATATTTTAGCGCCATTGTCGATCTATTTTGGCTATTGTCTCTCTATGAAACTCCCTCTGCGATTTCACTGAGCCCAAAATTTTTCCGTGTCGTTCAGAAAATCACCCACTTTTGCCTTATTGTCGTTTAAGCTTATCGAAAAACCCTACTTTGTGAAGAAATCGTCATCCAAAGTCACAAACCTTCGCTCTCTTGTCGGTCGAAGCTCACTTTTTCTTGAACTATAATTCGAGTTTACTGTTTTGAAATTTGCGCTCTTTCGACGTCATTTTTCTCTCGTTCTACAGTGAAAGGTCTACATCGCAATAACAATGCTAAGGTAACTCACAGATTATAGAGACGCATGTCGCCAGAAAAAACAGTTACTTTGGTTTAGATTCATTGATATCCAGTGGTTATTCACCCGTTAAAGAATTTCACGAAAATGTTCTCGAAGTTTAAGCAAGAAAAACCCTCGCATGTCCCCGAGCCAGAAATGCGAACTGGCATAATTCCCTTCAGCTTATTAAGGCATGCGACGCAGAAAAAAAGTCCACGAGAACGAGAAATAAGCCAGTTGAAGAAAGAAAAAGCGATGGCTTTGTTAGAAGAAGCATGCGAGGAGGCGAATGATACTCTTATGAGAAGGTTTGGAGGCAGTGGCCTCACTTACGTGTCTGTATATTTCCTGAACCAGCAACTAATCTCATATTAGTCAAGACCAGATGATCTTCATTTTGCAAAGGTTGACTTGAGAGAAAAACTGGAGGAGAAGCAATCGCTAGACTAAGGCCATTGGGGTGGTCGAATATTGGCTGTCCAGAAGGAAAAGCATCGAGGAAGACGAACAGAACTAATCTCGCTAGTACCTTTTTTAAGCAGATCAAAGGCATTTAACGAACTGAACGATCCTATGAAGCGGTTCTAGGAAGTTGACACCTTAGGTGGCGACGAAAATTATGCAATACCGATAAAAAGAGAGGAGGAGATAGTCCTTGATAAGGTTCTAGTCTCATTCGTTCACGATGGAGAGCGTTACCAAGTTGCCACACCTTATAATCATGACCGTCTGTCGTTACCGGACAACTAGAGATGGCCTTCAGCCGCCTTAGAAATACAGAGAAGCGTTTAAATCGACAATATTTACTAGGAGAAGACTATCAGAACGTTGTTGCATCTTACCCCGAAAGGGAGCCACAACGTCAGTGGTACCTCCCTCACCTCTCTGTATGCCGTCCTGAGAGGCCCATTACAAAGACGAGAACCGTATTTGATACCAGTGCAAAGTTTCAAGATACATCTTTAAACGATAAAATTCCACTGGACCCCAAGCTTGAAGCAGATCTGTTCGAAGGCCTCCCACTCTTTCGCCGTTTTCTAGAAGCCATTGCATGTGACGTCAGTGAAATGTACTTACAAATAAACACCTCGCCTCTAGACCGTTCGATGTTTGGATTTCTTCGGAAGAAGTTGGAAGTTAATCGAAATCCCGATGGAAATGACTTCGTGTTTGGAGATGCATCCGCTTCGCTTTGTGCCCAGTTTGTGTCTCAGGAAACACCAAGAAATAACAGAGAGAATTTACCTTATGCCTCCGAAACTGTCCAGAAGTCAAAATACATATGCAGATACAATTCTTTGACAGTGCAATCCATTTGTTCAAAGAACTTCAAGATCTGCGGAATAAAGTAGGAGGGAAGGCTCGTATATAGTTAGTTTACTCTCCGGAGGTGCTACCAGTCAGTCCACAGAAACTCAGAGCACTCAAATTAACCTTAGCCACGACACATTGCCAGTGACAAAACCTTCTTCGGAATTCTGTGGAATGCTCTGAATGATGTTTTCTCTCCTCGAATCACAACTCCAGTTGAAGGTCTATCGTGGGGATAGTAACCGAAATACTTGATCCATTAGGTCTCGCCAATCCGTTCATAGTCCAAGCAAAGATCCTTACTCAAGATTTGTGGGAAATGGGGGATGGGATGATACTGTTACTCAAGAGATCGCTGTGCAAGCCGAACGATGGTTTCTAGAGCTGGAGATCTTGAAATAAATCACATTTCTTAGAAGTCTAAGGTAGTCAAAAGCGGAGAGATCGAGCAGCGCCCTCACTTTCATGGAAGCATAAAGGGTGTTCATGGGATATTAAGCTATATAAGATGTTCCTACGATAAAGAGTATTACAAGTCTTCATGATTGCATCCAAGACCAAGCTTGCTCCTTTCACGCTTATCACAACACTTCGATTGAAGTTACCAGCTTACATATGTTCCCGTGGAATGGACGTTAAATACATCGTGGCGATTCAACTTCGGTGGCAAGTTCCGCAATTTCTTTCTCAAGCAGAAAACGAGTGGCCACAAGTGAAGATCGAGGAGGGTCTAGAGGTCAAAACTGAGAAGTCTTTGATCCACACAGTTTCGTTTCTGTTGAAGTCGTCGAAGATAACAGGTGGAAACTAAAACCTGAAAATCGGTCAAGTTGGTACAACTCACGCGAGTGACATTGTGTATGATAAGATTTGTCGTGAAGTGCCGCACAAAAGAGAAAGCACGGTTAGACGGTCCTTTTTCTCCAAACGAAATTAAGCTGAGTTACAAATAATCAGAGAAACGCAGCGGGCTGATTTCGCCGAGGAGTTCCTAGCTATTAAAATAAATGAGCCTTACAGAAGAGGAGTAAATTGCCCGAGCTGACGCCTAAAGTCGATCTTGATGGTCTTCTTCGGAGCGATGGTCTACTAAGGTTTACTTGAAGTCTACCTTACGATATGCGATTTCCAATAATTTTTCCGAGATGAAACTGGGCGACGAAGCTTATCGTAAAGCACTATCGTGAGGATGAACACCACGTTACCGGAACGAACTACACGCTTGTTTGCCACTCCGCCAAGCATAGGATAGTTGAAGCGAAAGACAAAATTAGGGAATGGGAAAATGGATGCAGTAAGTGTAATGAGATAGTATGATATTTTACAAACAGTTACCTATGCAGTTCGTTCCATTTCCTTGAAATCCATCTTTACACGTGCAGCTGTGAGATCCCAAGGTATTGTTACATTTAGCATTCACATCACAGGTGTGTGTTTCGTCAGTGCATTCGTCCAAATCTAGAACATTATGGAAGAAATGTCATGGAAATGAAACCTTTTTTATGTTTCTGTCTTGTGTTTTGTTAATGTTTGTTATTCTTGATTTATTTTTATCTTAGAGTCACCTCAGAAAAGTAAGGTGAGATAAGAAAGCATAATGTGTTACAAACAGTTACCTGTGCAGTTAGTTCCATTTCCATGAAATCCATCTTTACAAGAACACTTGTAAGATCCCAAGGTATTGTTACAATCAGCATTTACATCACAGTTGTGTGTTCCGTCAGAGCATTCGTCCAAATCTAGAACATTAAAAAAGAAGTATCATTTAAATGAAACCTGTTTTTTTGTTTTTTCTTGTGTTTTGTTAATGTTTGTTTGTTTGTATTTCTTGATTTGTTTTTATTTTAAAGTCACCTCCGAAAAGTAAGGTGAGATAAGATAGCATGATCTGTTACAAACAGTTACCTGTGCAGTTAGTTGCATTTCCATGAAATCCATGTTTGCACGTGCACTTGTAAGATCCCAAGGTATTGTTACACTCAGCATCCTTATCACAACTGTGTGTTCCGTCAGTACATTCGTTCAAGTCTAGAACATTAAGAAAGAACCATTTAAATAAAACCTATTTTTATGCTTTATCTTGTGTTTTGTTTTGTTATGGTTTGTATTCAATTCATAAAACTGGGAAGGTGAAATAAAAAAGCATGATAAATTGGTGATAAATTTATCGAATGATGGTATCATCTCTGACCTTGGCGTAGAATTTGTATCCAGTTTTACTGATATCCGCTTCAGCAGTTGTTCATTGTAAAAAATGGTAAAAGAAAAAACAAATTTATCATCTTACTGATTGGAAACAAATTGCAGAGGATTGCTCACCTTCACCACAATCATGGCCTTCAAATCCAGATCCAAGAACACATAAACACTGATAATCTCTGTCTGTAAACCCAGCTTGGCATGTTGCATTATTCTTGCAAGGATTTCTGGCACAAGCATTCTTACGAACAAAACGAATAGGAGCACTTTAATTTTTGTGTTTACCTTCTGCGCATGCGTTCGTGTTTGCGAGTTCTGAATGTTATGCAGGTTTGTCAAATCTATACGTCCTCTGTAATGGTCCTCGTGTGTGCTCTCATTTATATGCCCATATGTTCTACGCAAGCTGGCTTATTTTTCAAGCAAATATCTGCGTTGAACATAGGTTCTCTTTATACACGTGGCACTGTTCAGAGCGAGAAAAAAAATGTGTCTAAATCCTCAAAATGTATCACAACAACTCCGGATATTAAATTAATAATAATAAAAATAATATGCTTCTCCCAATTCTCTATTTCAAAGGTTAAACGCGTAAGTATCATAACCTTTCTTTTGGTTGTTGGAAGGAGAATTAAGAGGAGGGGGATAGGCTAGGGAATCCTTGGTCTTGTTAAGAAGCTTCGACGAGACAAAGAATTTCATTCTCTTGGCTAATAAGCGTCATCCTCACCTCAGCACCGCGGTAAATATAACTTTCGTTTTTCACCAGATCTTTATCGTGTTCAATAGTAGCATTATTCAGATCACACTTGTGTGTTCCAGACAGCTGTGTTATCGTATGGAAGTTATAACTGACGCAGTTAGGTTCCAGGTAGCATTGCGCCATGCAGAGATCCTCGTCGAATATTTCAATAGTTCGAACCGTGTGATTCTCCAACCTGTAGCCAGGTTTAGGAAAACTGGTAAACTTCAAATTACGGCAGTAACCTGGTGAAATATTACATTAAGTTAGAAAGTGGCTATGTAGTATTAAGGACATCTTTTGAAACTCGAAATCGATAGCAGTGTTAGTGCTCAATTATTGCTTTGTTTTCCTTTTGTGTTTTTGCCACGAGAATAACACCAGTCGAGTGATTCTAATTTATACTCTGAGTAATCACTTCTATTTTCATCTTCCTTCGGAAGCGTTCAGCTATCGTGATCAATTGTTGCCAAAATCAATAACAACTTTTTTGATATCTAGAGTGACTCGTGTTTATCAAGTGTTATATTGATCGTTTTCATTGTTACGCATCGAGAGAGAGAGAGAAATTCAGTGGATAAGGTTCAGAAATTGCAATGTTATAAGAGAAAGGTTAAGGAAGCACTTCTCCAAGTTTTAGGTCTCTTTTTTTTTCCCAAACTTAAGATATTCGTCGAAATGTTTTGCGTTAATTTACAGAGCCCAGTATGGAGCCGCCATGCTGGTGATTATCTTTGGTCCACCAACATGGCGGCCGGAAATAGTGAAGAACATCTGGAACTTACTTTGGCTATCTAGCCCACTGGTTATCTAAACTAAACCAAAAAACATGTACGAAAACACTTTTTCTAACAATCAATATTAAAAAAGGCTAAAAATCGCCAGGTAGGTCTATATTTTTCGACAAACGCGATCGGAGCTTTATGTCACGCAACCACCATAACTCTGAACTTCAAACTGCTTTGGTTTCCAAACCAAGCACGCTTTTATGCTGAAAAGTTGAAAGCAGATATAAATTTAGACCCCCATATGTCTGATGAGGGTAAAAATTTTCGTGGCCCTGTATTTTTGGATTTTCGAATTTGATGATGTCACGTGGAAATCAGCAATGAAGTTCGGAAATAACACGTGCTGTCATTGGTTGAAAGGGCGTGTTCTACCAGAGTACAGAACACGGAGCTGAGCTAAAGCTGTCACGCCATCTGCCAATTCGTATTATGTCTAGCCTTTTTCGCTAATTGGAAGTGAAATTTCGGAATAAGCGAGCCGGCAAGTAGCAACAGAAGAACCAAATAAAGGTTTGTAAACATGCCAAGCTCTGTAATTTGCACTATTATAACGTGTGAGGAGACGAAAATCCTAACAAAGAAAACAAAATGGACATCCGAGCTTTGAAGGTTTTCACGCTCAGTTAGATTATAAACTTACGGACGGTAATAAAAATTAAACAGAGCTGACAC